GGGCCTGTTGTCTAGTGGTGGGGAGTCTAGTGGAGACAAGCCCCGTACGATGCTGACTTGAGTATCGGAGATGCGAACCATCGATTCCCGGGGTAATTGGGCGTGAAAGAATTTAATATTTGAATTTACCATTGAATGGAAATATTGCTTTCAATTATTTTTACGGACTGCAACAAAATTTGTGGAACTAAAAAATTAAAACGGAGATGTTTGAGCGGATCTTCGCTCTATCTATGACTGAATAAGGTAGCTTATCTCCCGAGGGTACTCTCCGGAGAGTAATTAGAACTTTACGAACAACTTAACTAAACTCGAAACAAAACGGCAATTCGCATTGATAACTGGGTTCTTGCCCCTACGATCTTCCACCTACAAAGCCCTAACACTCTCACGACTAAGGGAGCGTGAATATTTCGATCCGACCTATGTATTCACTCGATCAACAAACCAGAAGGGCTACAAAAACCACTGGGTAGTACATTATCTTGGCCAAGTTATGCACGGTGATATTTTGGCCCTAAACCGAATTTACATAGAATTATCTGAAAATAACAAAACTCTAACTCAACAAAACCCTAACTGAAGCTGCAATATTTAAGATTTTATGATTCTATTTCCTAATTTAATTGTTAATATTATAAACAAAAATCTAGGGAATCGATAGACGCGAGACATAGCTCATTTTCGTAATTTTTCGGACCTTCCTGACGTTTAAGGTATCTTTGAGGTTCAATCAAGGTAGCAGATAACTCCGAATTTTATTTAAGGTAGCAGATAGCTCGAGTTTTTGATATCGGATTTTATTGCAAAGAGTATGTAGCTATTTTATCGAATTTGAGTTTCTCTCTCTCTCTCTCTCTCTCTCTCTCTCTCTCTCGTTCAATCTATAAATACCCTGGAGTTATACAGGTAACGAAATGGTCTGGAAATATGTTTCAGATAATTTGTTACAAATTAATTTATGCTGGTCTAGATGAAAGTTGAGCCTACAATGAATAGAGAAAATAATGTGAATCCAGCAAGGGACTAGGTTGCGTAACTATTAATGACATTTACAATACTAAGCACGATACAAAATTTCAAGCAACTTAATACATAAATTTCTAAATGAAATTTGTCCTGAAACACGATATCTATTGATGATCAATTAGAAAATAGGGAGAAAATAAATAGTTGACTATTTTTGGAAGGATCGTATAGAAGGATGAGAAGGAAACATTCTCAATTTAATAATGTGTCAATTTTGATAATCTGACCTTTCTCCGATTTGCTGAATATTGCAAAATAAATTCAGACTACGAGAAATTGTGGAGACCCTCTCATATTCACTTCTTTGTTAATTTCAATCATACTTACAAAACCTGCGGCAATCACAGCGTCATCTGCATCTCTCAAAGTTTTTTTTGTGCCGCTTTCTTTTCTTATCGAAAATATTATTTATTGATTAATTATTCATTTGCATTGAATCATGAAAATTGTTTGGGTCCATCGTAAGGTACATACAAGGATGTTGGAAGTCTCTGATTTTACATTCTTTTTCTTCTCCTTTTGTGGCTTCTTTTGCAATTTGAGCGTTTGTCGACATCCAGGAATTTATCGATAGCCTCTTTCTTTTCTAGAAATGTATTCATACATATATTTTTCAAGTGAGTTTGATCTGGTTGGTTGCATGGTATATTCTATTTTCCTACGTGAAATGATATTCAATAAGAAAATTGAATAAAAAATATTATATGCGTATTTCTTCTTGTTTCGAAGAGATGAAAAATCCAATTGGAATAACATATGAATTATGGCACCACAATGATTTATCTATAAACGTTTTAGTGTGACGTTATATTGCAGATATTTCAAAATACTCAAATTGGATAATGTTCAATTGCTTATCAAACTAAAACAGTATTTAAAATTTTCTATTCAATTTCGATATTTTGTAATTAATATTTTTTGCGAGACCACAGATTCATAATTCACAATTTGAAAATATCGTGTCAATACTCTGTGTATCAACCCCATATTTCTGCTTTTCGTTGTGCTCTGCATATAAATCTGAATGAAAATTCTCCCATTTCTTTTTCATTCAAAGATTAATTCATTGGAAAAAAACACTGATATTAGAATGTATATTAATCCCCTCTCATTGTCTTCTCATTTCATTCTCATTTATTATAGAACTGAATTAATTTATTAGTCGATTTCGTTTTTTGTGTGGAATATTTTTTGATGATGAGGCGAAATTACCTGAGAATTCTAAAATGCCAACAGAATCAATGATTTTTCCATTAGATTTGACAAGACGACAGGTCTGTGGGGTGTTTCGAATTTTCTTCAAATCTTTTCTTCTTGCTGGCCGTATACATCTACCATTGCCATCACTAATCCACAAATTCTTCAACTGGCAAAGCTCGTGCAGTTGAGCCTTGTACCGATAAATAGCACAAAAAACGACTTCCTTCCTCGACATTATTAACACCTACAGCAGAATTTACATCATTGTTATTAGAATCATCATACCAGAGAACAATGATATCTACGGGTAAAATGTGGTATACTACTTACGAAACTAATAATAGTAGTATTAAGTGTTGTCAGGCATTAGTTCCAACTTTCGCCACCAGGTGGCGCTGGCGTCGCTGTTCGTTTGGTCGCGAGCGATGGGTGGCGAGTGAGGGAAGGAGGTGGCGCTGGTGTCGGGTGGGTGGTGAGTGGGGGTGTTGGGGGTAAGAGGTGTGGTAGGTGGTAAGCGGGTGGTGGGTGGTGAGTTAGGTGGTAAGCGGGTGGAAAGGGGGTGAGTGAGGGTGGTGGGTGGAAATAAAAGGAGGCGGGAATCGTAAAATATTCGAGAACAAATATCAGGTGACTATGAACGTGGAGGGGGTAGCGTTTGGCGGGCCTTAGGTAAACACAGCTGCAATTAGGAGCACTTGTCCGGAAGGGTCTGATGTTAGGAATGCGTTAACAATAGACGATGAAACACTTGTACAAATTTTACATTTTCTACAGAGTTTTATTCAACATTTCGGTTACATTTTATGTCAATGATGAGTTACCTAACGTTTCATTGAAAAGATCTGGTATGCAATAATAATAATGAATGAAAAGAGCATCTACCCATTCCATTCCTAATACATATAAAGGGCCTACAATTGATGCGACTAGACATATGAGTATAATTAGAATGTATACAACGGAGGGCGTTCCCTCATCTTCAGTATCGTCTTCGGTATTACCGATTTCAGTATCTTAATTTTTGCGGTTGATCAGAAGGCGCGTAGCACAGGTCATTGCGATGGCGATGCGTCAAATCCAATAAATACCTCCTACGGTGCTCAATAGTTTCGGCACAACGACTAAGAAATGCAGGTAAACCCAAAGTTTCGGCCGTCCTCGGTCTTCTTTTAAAAATAAATTTCACCTCTCTAGAGTTACAATACTAGTTGTATCAATTTGATATGCAAAACTGTTCAAAAAATATTGAAAATACCTTTACAAACAGGGGTTTTAGGGTCAATATTTTGAGTGTCGGCGTCGTCGAACTCGTCATTGTCCTCCCAATTCTTATGAATTAAATGATTACGTATATTAAAAAGTGTTTGTAAGGCGCAGTTATACGTCTGAACGTCCATCTTGTTTTTCATGGCACGGAAGTAACACACAGTCTTTTCTTCATTCTGCAGACATGTATTGTTTTTAAAATCCGCCTCTGTACCCAAATTTATGGTTTCTCGTGCAGATAAGATCTGGAGATATACAGCCTCCTCACCACCAATAGTGAAAATGCGGCGAGTATTTCTGCACAGCTCTCTAATATTATGTAATACATCCCACACTTCTGTATCCTCATCATGTCACTCGATTCCGTGATTGTTCTTTGTGAGTCTATTGTTCGTCTCACGCCAGCAGTTAGAAAGGTCTAAGTACGGGTAAGGTGCATTCAAAATGCAGTGCGAAAGAAATACTCCCTCAGTATCAGCAACAGCAATTTTTTTTGGCAAGAATTCCCCATTTTTGCCACGGATACCTTGGATAACGACAGCGACATCCATGTTGATGCGATCACCACAAGAAACTTTTGTATGATGAAGAAGTCGACAGGTGGATAAAATAATATATCTGACGACTGCGGCGTGGGGAAATCGTGGTGCGAGAAATATATCAGTATCATTTTAATATTTCATTTTAATTTATTCTTCATTCACAGAGAAAAAATCACAGATTTTTGCGTTTCTGCTACTCTGTTTCTATTTTCTTCTGCATCAACTGCCAAGCGTAGTTCTTTAACAATTTCGCCGGTGTATAATGTGACAATTTCTCAAATGAAATCAAAAAGATTTACAACATTCACATTTTTATATGCAAGATTATGACGAATCGTGTCAAACAACTGTTCAAAATATTTGAAATCGGTTTTTATTATGTAATAATAATAAATTTTATTGCATAGAGGATACATTGTCCCATTGCAAGGGGGAGAAAAAATAATACATAAAATTACAGAGAAAATTCGGAAAGTACTATCTATGACATGATTTCTGGGATATACGAGTTTAGTACAAATTAGCCTGAGCGAGCCAGTAATGCATAAAGAATATTCAAGTCTGAAATCTAAAAGGAAGAATGCACAGAGCGTGAAGCTACATTTTGTAAATCGATTTGACGTCTTACCACTAGACATTTTTGAGAATGGCTGAAGATTCCTTTGTTTTCTATGAAATTAGCATTAAAAAGTATATCACTCAGTGACCTGTTTATAAAGTGAGGGAATCTATTGAACAGTTGGTGTCTGAGTTCCCGGGTACAAGTGCATCGAAGAAAGAAGTGATCGAGCGTATCGTATTCACACAGTGAACAGTAATTGCAGATTTTGGTCGGCTTAAACCCTAGTCTGTCTTTGCCCAGATGGAAACCACAAATATATTTATTCGAGAGTCTAATCTGCGCTACTGTTCTTTTGATAAAAAGACAATGGTTTTCAGTCAGGTACAATGCCTTCCAAGAATTCAGAGCATCAGTGAAAGCTGGGGTGATCTGACAGGACGTAGACTTAGCCAGCTTTCAATGTCTCTTTCCCTGAGTATTAACTCATACGAGTTGAAGATATCAATCGTTTTACTAGCAAGCTCTTCATAATTGAGATCGGGCCTTAGCTCTTCATGAATTGTCATACTAATCAGGTCTCTGATTCTCGAAATCCAGTTGTAAGGGTTCTTCCCATGAGAGGAACGATCAAGGTCAAGCAATCTAATGACACAGACTTTTGGTAAAAGAGAGTCACTTTGCTTGAGGATTTTCAACAGCCAATCCCAGCAAAGTTTCATGATCCTCAGTTCAGTGTGAGGAAGGTTGGTCTCTAGTCTAAGGGCCCATCCCGGAGTACATTTTGGCAGAGCAAGTGCCCTCTTAAAGAAATCTAGTTGTGCCACTTCAAGCTCCACTGAGTGGAGAAGCTCCCATGCGGGTATGGCATACAATAGTGTAGAGGAAATCATTACATTATAAAGTATAACTAATGTTCTCCAGGAGTTGATCCCAAGACCAGCCAAACCACCAAGAGCAACACCTGTAGCCATTTTACCTTTTGCTAATGCGGCCCTAGCAGAAATGTTGCCAAAGGCATTCCTACTCAGGGGTATACCTAAATAGGTATACGAGGACACTATTTCCAGCACAGAACCTTCATATTTTCTAAAGCAATCAGGTAGCTTTTTAAGTCTTCGAATTCTTTTGAAGGGCATAATTTTAATTTTGGATATATTTACCTCAAGGCCATTCAGATCGCAGTAGTCAGCTGGAGCTCTGAGTGCTCTGTGTAAATTAATATGAGAATCAACAAGAATCGCTGTGTCAAAAGCATTAGGACGTCTGTAAACCCATCAATGTTCAGACCCGGAATATTTCTATTGCGGAAAAAAGACTCAAAGTCACTAATGTACAGAATGAACAGGAGAGCACTCAGAGTCTCGCCCTGTAACACCCCCTCAGTCACGTCAAATTTATCAGAGAGCTGACTGTTGCATTTAACCTGTACATTGGCAGTGTCATAGAGCGATTTAATTACTCTTATTAATTTAGAGCTTATGCCTAGGTTGTTCAACTTGTTCCAGAGGTTTTCGTGGGGCACCGAGTCGAAGGCGCGACGGAAGTCCACAAATATCGCGAAAACCTCGCGCCTTGGCAGACGCAACTGTAATTGAACTGCAGTGAGCAGAGTAAAAATCGCCTCGGTGCACCCACGTCCAGCTCTGAAACCAAACTGGGCACCTGGTAGGATTTTATTGCTTTCAATCCAGATTTCTAATCTATTTTTGATCATGTAAGTAAAGATTTTCGTGATAAGATTGACTAGCGCGATTCCCCTGTAGTTCAGTGGATCTGACTTATCGCCCTTCTTGAATACCATGGTCAACAACACATCTGCCCAGCCCTCAGGACAGTATTCCGTTCTTAGAATCTGATTGAACAGCGAGATCATAATGAGTTTACCATTTACGGGGAGCGCCGAGTAAAATTCATTCGGAATGAGATCAGGTCCTGTAGATTTATTTTTCTTCAGCTTACAGAGTATATGATCAAATTCCACTAGTGAGACTTGACATTCCAGGGAAGCAACAGTATTGATAAAACGAACACGCATTACGTGATAAGTTTGTAAAATAATAATAAAAGAAAATGATAGTAAAATAATAATAATTTTCTACATATAAATAATTTTTGTAAATGAAATTTGTATATAGTAAAAATAATAAAAGCGAGCGTTATTTTCATATCCCAAAATTTATTTCAGCAGGGGAAAGGCCGGAAAGACATTTCTCTCAATAGTAATTATATTGTACTATTCAAAAATCCGTGTGATCGTGCTCAGATTGCTCATTTAGCTCGCCAAGTTTACCCTCAAAATCCCAAGTTTTTGCAAGAAGCATATTTTGATGCTACATCGAAACCATACGGTTATTTATTATTAAGCTTGAAACAATCCACTCCTGATAACTGTAGATTCCCTACTAATGTGTTTCCTATGGATCCTCACAAAATTCTGTATGTTCCCTGTTCAATGCATGATATAAAAATACACACTTTACATCTGAGTGTTCCAGTCATGTGTGTGTGATGGCGAGGTCAACATATAACACTGCTCGTCGCCTGATCGGCCCGAAAAACGTAATTTTGTCACAAGCAATCTGCGAGACCCCACCTGCGCAACGTGTATATGCTCGTGTGCATTGAATATTTTAAACGGAAACGTTCCTCTCAAGAGTGGGGAGGAGAAAAAATTTTCTAAACATAAATCTTTTCTTCGTAAATTGGGAAAATTAGATAAAAGTTTAAAACAGAAGAAGTAAATTATTGTGAATCAAAAAGGAGGTAGTTTTTTACCACTGATTCTTCTGTCATCACAATTACATCCGGATGATAATGACTCTATCATATTAGCCGTACCAAGAAAGTATCAAAAACAAGTTAGGGCATTACTTAAGCATATTCCAGAATCTGCGGATCAAGAGCGTTTGAGGTGGGATGCGTCAGGTATTGTCCAATTCGACGGAGTCCGTATACCTGGGTCAAATATTGTTGACTTGGTGAATGACTCGCTGAGGCATCGCCAGACAATAAAAGCAACAGGACGAGAATTATTTCCCGGTTTCTTACGGGATATCAATACACCAAAAGAATTTGTTGGTAATCAAATTTTCTGGACAATACGCTCACCAGCGGCCACATCTATACCTACACAGGATGAACAATTAGACTCCCCAAATAACTATTTCACGCCTAAGACATCACAAAGGGGTAAAAGAATAGCGTTCGGAGGTAATAATGACTCATCTAATAATTTAACAATAAAAGCATGGAGCAGGTCAAGTTAGAGGATACTTATTACAAACCGAGGATCCTGCTGGTTATTCGGGGGCCACCAGAATTATACAGAAGCATGAGAAAAAAAAACTCGCCAAGATATTGTTCAGCGGCTTAATGCGCAGAATGCTTATACTCTTCATAAGCCTATAAAATGAGCTCCGTCTAATTAGCCCCCCTCATATGAATTTCTCGACTTTTCCACTTTTTTCCTATTGCTAATGTTGTGAAGACGTTTGCTAGTTGATTAATAAATTTTGCTAGTGATTAGTTTTTTTTTATAGTCAATTTTCAAAAATCGACCTCAAAAAAATTGAGGATTGACCCTCTCACCCCTTCATCTCACAATTTTTTCATCACCAATCGAAAGAGAATCGTTTGCAGTTTTTTGCGAGTTCGGGAACAGAAATCGATTCAATAATATTTCCTAGTAAACAATCGTTTTTCCGTCCACATTGCGAAAAGTAATTTATGTACACGGAACTCAATATGGCCGCCAAGGCCCAGCGGTGAGTCGTCATTTCAGAGCAATTTTCATTTTGGAGTTTTACGATCTAAATTTTTGGTTGGAGTGAAGTGAAAGAAATCTATGTGGTTCAAAAATGTAAGTGTTCAATTTATTAATCATATGTAATGCACATAGTAAAATCGACGGTAAAATTTGCTCTAGTTCCTTCGAAAGAACTGGTATTTATGATCAATATGGTTACGCAGTGGGTCATGCGATTCTAACAATGTAGAAATGATTTATTTCGTTCAATGCTCTGTGATTGTATTATCAATGAATATTGACAACTAAAAAAAATCTTCCTTTGATATAGGTTTGCAGTTGAGGAAGATGAGGGGGCTTCCTAAAGTTTAGAATCTAGACGAATTCCCAACTGTGTGTGCTCATGGATTAAATGATAAATTGCCTGTCATATTTTATTGTTCATCACTGCAATTTTGAAAAAAAAACTGATATATATTCCGTAAAATCGATAAGTAATAGATTGAGAACATCAAATTCGAGGTTGGTATGCATACCATCAAATTTAACTGTGATATTTAATGCAAGATTAATTAATATGCCATTATCATCAATACTAGAATTTTTTTCTTCATGGAAAGTTGATCGGGATTAATGTTCGATATGGATTTCAAATATCATCCACACTGTATGGTTTGGAACCGTCAACCGATTGGAGTCACTTGAAACAATACTGAGGAAGTGCATATTAACTGTAAGTGATACAATATTTTTTGGAGGTTTTCGATGATCCAACTAAAAAATTCGTTCAAATGGAGTACTCATCTAAATTGAGAATTATTAAGAATGAGGCGCAGAATTATTGGGCTGTTGGATTGGAACAGGAGGTAAATGTGGGTGAGTTGAAAAACTATACCGAAATGAATATTTTTTATTTAATAAAATAAAAATTCTTATTTTATTTGGTGCATGAAAATGTAGAAAACTATCTACTGTAGGCAGAATTACTATTGAATGAAAAGAAATACCAATTTGCAGAATATACTGAACATCTGAATCGTGGTAACTATTGTGAAGGAATTCCATCGATTTCGTACATTTACTCTTTTAAAATGTCCGGGAATTGTTTCGTTTTTTCACCGAATTTCAGCTACTATTCCGTGTAAGTTACAGAATCATTACTATAGAACAATCATTATATTAAACAATACTTTTGTGTAATCAAAAGTGACGTTCAACTTGTGCGGAATGCAAAAAAAAATAGATTTTAAGCGAGATTAGTCTATTTCGCTCGAGATTCAGTTAGTCCTGAATATCTAAAAATCAGAGTGATAGAAAATATTGTATGGATATTGTTTTTATAACTCCCTTTTTGCTTTATAAGAAAGTCTAAAAATGTTCCTTTATCGAAATCCTTATACATAAATATTTCATAGTTTGGCGTATATTTGGTAAGAGGTCACAGGAGATGAATTGATTCAACTTATTCTGAAACGGTGTTCCACTGTGATATTTCGCACCATTGCATTCGAGTACTGTTACTGATTTTATTGACTTTGATTTATTAGCTTTGATTGATCCATAAATATAATAAGTTGCCGAGCTCTGATGACAACATTTTTCCATATGTCAATAAAGTCCCTCGCTCACCACTGTCATTGGTGTCTAATTATTCTTTCTCAACTTACCAAATTTATTCATCAAGCCACGAATTACAATTCATTTCTTCAGAAATCCTATTTATTTCAGAAATAACGAAAAACTAGCCAATTACCTCTCTTTATTACCAAAAAATTTACGAATCACTATAGAAATTAAAGGAAGGCAGTGTAGCCAATAAATCGTGACTAAAATAAACAATTCCAATAGATGTTCAGTGCACAAAGTCCTTAGTTCAAACAAAGATCTAATTACCACCCTCATATTTATAAATTAATTAAAAAATTTGATAATTTTACTCGATATTCTTCATATAAAGACATCCTTTCATCAGAAATATCCAAAATCACATTTATTTTTTACTGATTATGTAGACGGGTGGTTGTCAAGTGGTTTTTTTAACCATATTACAATTCAATTAACTAACAATGGAAAAATTGAAAGTAAGGTTGATTATTAATACGTATTTGTAAATATTACTATGAAGAAAATCTTCACACTTCAATTAATTTACAGGTTAAAACAATATCCGATTGATATTCAAAGGCCGATCATTTTCCATGGAGGGTTTGTTCTAAAAAATCGCCTGCGGTTAGAATTAGAGGAGCAAATGCACAACTCGCTATAAGGTCTGGAGGTAAGATCGAATTGATTTATTATACGTCGATGATTGCATTAGTTAAATCGTCTACTTCCATAGGGATACACATAACAAAATGGTTCGGCCTCCTACAGTAAGCCACAACGATGCTGTGAAACTTGTGGAGAATTTTATTCAGCATGTTACCACCCCACATAGTCCTCCTTATAGCTCCGTAATTTGGCAACAGATGAGCGACAGATGCTGTGGGAGGAAAATGAACTCCACACAACGTTTCCGTCACCGTCGTTCAAAATCGGAACGGAATTCTCACTAAAGCCAGACCTAATAAAGGAATTGTTGTGGAAGAGATTTCTCCTGAGGTCCACAATCAAACTTTCGACTCCTCATCGGACGATTCCCAGCTACCTGAAGAGATCGACACGCCGTACGAATTTGAAGTTTTAGCACAGGGACTGGATTTCTTCAAATTGGTGATCAACCTCGTAGAATGGCGAGAAATGATTGGAATTTCAATAGTTTATCGGGATGACAGAGTTTATTCAGTTTTGGAACGAGAAAAGTGGGCGTGCATGCTCTCAATCATCATCTTTCGTCAAACAGAACTTCCCTGTGCGTTCGTGATAGACAATTCCAAAATTTATAATTCTTCTGACAGTATGCATTATTGTTGTATAACCGGATACTGCAAAAGTAAGAAAGGTGGCAATCGCTTATTCTGTTATATTGGCAAGCCACCTGGTGATTCTGATCCATTTCTAATAACGATGAGGACGAAGGAGACATTCTGGGACCAACATGAAAAAATCGAACGAGA